CTTTACCGAAAAAACCTAAGAATATGAATCATTGCAGTCACGAAAGCTTCAAATCTAGAATTTTGCTTTGCCACATAAACTGGTGCACAACCACCAGGGTCGTCGGTGGTTCAGAATCCAACTCATCGCACGGTTTCATTATATAACCCCTGCCGAATGTTTGAATTTACAAGAAAAAGGAACTCATTTGGGTGAGAAAACCGGGCAAACTTAACACGCGAGTATACGTAGGAGCAAAATTAAAGTGCTTACATCAAAAGCCTTCCATAATTGCCACGAGGATTTATTGACTGTGTGTCGCCAGCGATTGGTTGCTTATGGCTAGCTATACAAGTAATTAAGAGTAATTTCCGAGGCACAGAATCCTTTAATGAGTTTGCTGCGCTGAGTGCACTTCCCGCGGCTTCATCTGGGTGCACTGGAGCGGACACGGCGGTGGCGGTGGCACCCGAACGGTGGTATGATGGGGAAGGCCCGAAGGGCTGGTGTGGTGGCGCCATAACATGGTGGGAGGGGGTGGGGGTAGGAGATAATGTCGTCGCACTGCGAGATGTTAACTACCTCGCCTGGTATACTGACGCCAGTATATTTGGAGTCTGCATGATCTCCCCGTGGTCACGTGGATTTTTCTCTGGGTCCTCCGGTTTTTCCCTTCCACGTTTAGAAACGTGATGATAAGCCACTTCGTTGAGCTATCATTTGTGGCCTGGTCGCGTCTGAAAAAGGTGCTATACAGCTCAGTGGGCCTTACCTGGTATAAATAAAAGCATTTTTTTTTGCATTCACCCGCCACCTTCACCTCCAGCATTCACCGCCTTGTCGTTGAGCCAATATAAATTCAAGACACCCGGCATGAATGTAGGACAGGTGGAGGGAAATTTGATTAAAAAGATTCTCACGCGGAGTGTGGGGAAGGGAAGGAGTGGAATTTGAAAAATTGTGCTGCCCCCAGCCTAAGATTTAAACGCCAAAGGCAGCAGCAGCAGCGCATCTCATCTCCTTTCACCCTCACGGGGGGTAAAGAGCCGTTTGAATATACAGCTTTGTACGCTTCTACTTTTCTGGTCGCAGCCTAGTTGTGCGAGGCCATAATCAAGCTTGTGCAGGATACAACCATTTCATTTACAGTCTTCGCCACAGAGCATATTATTTAAATTGTGTGCAAGTAACCGATGCCGAGTCGTGGGGTTTTTTTCTGCAGTTGTAAAATAAAATAGCCATTCTGTCAATGTATACCTTTCATATATATTCGCTTTTCATCAGAAATCTAGTGAATATACATTTAATCGCCATGTATATTTTCGTCTGATTTTGAGAAGAAAAAGAGTATCCATATATCAAAAAATGTATACATTTTCTTCCTAAAATCATGCTAGGTTGGCCAATCAGTCAAATGAAATGCTGGCTGAAGATGTCAAATTCTGTGTTTTATTGCTGGCCGCGCAAGGTTTCTTTCAAAAGGACAGTTGAGAGCAAGATGATGGCATGCTCTAGGGCTTGCTGATGGACAAAATCACTTCCCTATGCGAGGTTGTGTGCGGTCAGAATTTTGTTTCCATGATTCCAGTGTAACCAGGAGTGTACATGAGCGCATTCACGTTATATATACAAATGTATTTTTTTTTACCATGGACAAATGTTATAAAGACGAACACAAGAGATCAGACACACATTAATGACATCATTCTATCTAGTTAGAAAATAAGTGGCCTTGGGTACGGCAGGTCGCTAGATTGGCAATGGTCACGAATAATGACAGTGGCAGCCAAGGAATGGAACACATCTGAACGTATGTCTACCGAGAAAATAGTGATGACATCAGCTCTTGTGCAGGTACTGGGTGGAATTATTACATGGCAGGACCATGATAAATATTGACGGTGTGAGCCCTTCATGCAGCAGTGGATTGGCCATGGCTGACGATGATGACACTACACAGGAAGCTGCTATAAAAGGCATCCTGTAGGCTTCCCCCTGTCCACCTCCAGAATGAAATCAGTCTTCATCCCTACTCCTTGCAGGCTTGTCACACGGCAAAAAGAAGTTATTGTAAATGTAGTGATGTGTCGAATCATGGATTCAAATAGAATATTATACTCACGATGCATGCACCGAATTGCTAATGCAGTAATACATGAATTGCATTGAAGTTAACGTGACTGGAATTTGGACAACACGAATGAGACGGTAAACACAAAACAAAATAATCGATTCTTGATTCAAATCATGGCCCCAAAGCAGCGGGGGGAGGAGGTATAATTCACTAATTATCCAGTAGACATGACACCTATATTGCCCAGTAGACATGATACCTGCATTGCCCAGTAAATATGATACCTGCATTGCCCAGTAAATATGATACCTGTGTAGTGACATGGAATGGGTCACTATGGCGTGTAGTGCTGGTTGCTGGCAGAGAAGGGGATGTGCTGTTGTTGCAGCCCTGTCTGCCAGCAGGTCACGTGATAAGCCAGAGAAAGGAATGTGGGGCAAAGGTGACAGAGGGGGCACGTGAGGAAAAGCCCGGGAACCTTCTAGTAGATTCTAGAAGGAGGGGCATGGGCGATCGCAGAGCGAGGCCACGCTGGGTGGATAAAAGGGAGACCCCGAGCAAGACTCGTGGCTGTTGTTTGGAGTGGAACCCGTCGTGCTGCACGAGTCTTCGTCACTGTCTTCACCTCCTCGGCGTTGTTGGTCAGGCAGCCTGTTAACTGTCCTGACCATAGTGTAGTTACTTCCTGTACCTGTGAAGGCTATAATAAATAGAGTGCCTCCTATTATTAGTGTCTCTGAGTGACTCACTATAACCTACACTGCCCAGTAGACAGGATACCTACATTGCCCAGTCGACGTAACAATCCAGATCAAAATTAGTTCTACCACTCATGATACCTGCATAGAAGCGAATGCAATTATGTATTCACACTGCAAACTACATGCAAATGTAACCTTTAGAATAATTCAAAGAATGAGAGAGAGAGAGGAAAAAAAACAATGTATAATACGTGATGGAAAATAGAAATGAGAGAGAACAAGCAAGACACAAAATGATAATCGAATTTAATCCTTAACCACAAATCATGACAATTCATGAAATGTCCATGAATGCTTGTTAGGGGATAGTGGAGACTGAAACTTTGCATGCCTCTCCAACAGCATTACTGTATTTGCATGAAATTCCACATGTAGCTTTGCAACTTCCCGTTAGAAAGTTGCAGTGCACAATACAGTTTGAGTATTCAGAGGCCCCAGTAAACATGGACGTTTGGCCAACCACGTGACAACGTTGGCCCAATGGTGGCACGTTCACTGGGACGCGGTGTCTCAGCATCCTTGGTGTCAAACACAGTAAGTATTATAATTGGTGTTTTACCCTTCTATCTGGCAACAAAACTGACACCTTTTTTACAAGGAGTCATGCTTGCATAGACCACAATACCTGCAGTCATAATGCAAACAAAAAACATAACTCTGATAATGTATGCACTGTCCTTAAAGTTGATTGGTCCACACCCGAGACAGCTTTCCTTAGAGCCTAGTCTCACATGGTGTTGGACCAGATGACGCCAAAAGGCGCACAACTCAAAGACAATGCACCATCAGAGTATGAGAGCTCGGGGTAAGCATTTACACCATTGGAACCTCATTTGCCAGTAAAAAATATGATAATTGTTTTTTTTACCCTTCTATCTGGCAACAAAACTGACACCTTTTTTTTACAAGGAGTCATGTCTGCAGGTATTGTGGTCTATGCAAACATGACTCCTTGTAAAAGACAGTAAGTATTGTTTATGAGTACTGCACTTTTGAATGTATATGGAATTTGGCTGTCATAGCATGGCTGGTGCACACTGCCAGGGATACCGTGGAGAGCGGTTGGTGTAGTCCAGGGGTCGGCAACCAAAATAACAAGAAGAGCCATTTCTTTCCAATTCGGTACAAACTTCAGTATTTCAAGAGCCGCAATGCATCTGAGTACATACTGTACTCATCGTCAAGAAGCAGCCCGTAAAGAGCCGCATGCGGCTCCGGAGCCGTAGGTTGCCGACCCCTGGTGTAGTCGTTAGTGCGCTGTGCTACGAACCCGGCGACCCGAATTTGATTTCCTCTCCCGGCCAACACCAGTGACGATTAGCCGAACCAGTCCTGGGTCTCCCCTAGGTCGGCTTAGCTTCAAATGAGTACCCGGTACGACGTGTATCCATCGCCACTAGGGAGACAAAGGCCGGGGCATTGTGCTGGCCACCCACTCCCTCGCGTGGCGTGCCGGCCTTCTTAGGTGCTCTCTAACACAACTTGCCCCAACAATGTCTCTTAAGGCTATACGGAGGATATTTGTGGCTTTGTCGTATACAGTGCATGTGGCCTGCCAGAGCCAACGATGTAGAGTAACCCTACATCTTTTTTTATGACGACAGCACTGAGTGTAATTCATGTGAAATTCAACCGTTAATTATTTTCCGCGTGCTGTTAATTCTGTTGTAGGGTTGCAACCTCTGAGTTACAAAAAAACACACCGGGGCATTTCATGGGAAGAAGACTATCTCACAAAACCAGAAGAGGGGAGAACCACAGGTAAACGTATCGTCTTGAGCGGTGTATTACTACGCAGCTGAACAGAACACATTTCATTATGGCGGCTAGATTTTAGGCTCAAAATCTGAATAATCTTCTCGATGAGATTCTTTCCTTATCTATACGTTAACATTGAGATATTAAGCTGACAACGTAGCCCTGCCCGAGCTGGCGTCAATGTGCTCAATTCAATTCACCGTGTTTCGCATTCTGGCGAAGATTGGCAATTCCACGTGTTATAATAAAATGCAACAATTCCATCACATTCCTACTTCGATTTATTACAATAGGGTCAATTGATAGTTAGGATTGAAAAGATCGCCTATATTTCATGCAAAAAAAAAACAAATTGGATTGCCCAGTGACAATCCAAATTGTGCGTGGCGGTGGAGGAAGAAGCCGCAGCAGCTGACGGTGTCGCGCACCTTCCCTGCTGTTGAGCCGTGCGAAGTGGGCGGCCAGTGCCGGCGAGAGCTCCGACGAGGCGCCGTAGGCACCGGGCCCGAGCGGAGATCCGAGCGGGCGGTCGCACGCAGGGCCTGCACACACACACACAAAGATAAAGATCCCCCGTATAGCCTTAACAGACTGTAGGGGCAAGTGCTGTTAGCGAGCACCTATGAAGGCCGCAACGGTACACGAGGGGGTGGGTAGCCAGCACCACGCCCGACCGCCTTTGTCTCCCCAGTGACGATGTTTACACACCGCACCAGGTACTCATTTGAGGCTGAGTCGACCTAGGGGAGGCCCGGGACCGGTTCAGATAATCGTCACTGGTGTTGGGCCGTGAGCTGGAATCGAACCCGGGTCGCCAGGTTCATAGCGCAGCGCGCTAACCGCTACACTACCGCTCCCCACATCACACACACACACGTGCACACACACGCACACACACGTGCACACACACGCGCACACACACACACGCACACACACACGCGCACACACACACACGCACACACGCACACACACACGCGCACGCAGGCAGGCAGTGAGCGGATGCAGCATTGCAAACTCCTTCAACGGGAGGAGGAGGAGGGGGGGGATGTCGCCAAACGAACCTCAGGAAAGTCTCTCTAGACCCAGAGGATCGGCAAACCTGTGGCTCTTTAAGGACATTATTTAGTAAGGGTCGCCTCGTATTCGCATGCATTGCGGCTCTTGAAATATTTAGTTTCTTACCGGATTGGGAAATGAAATGCACATACTGTATAAGCATGTGTTGTTGTGTTTGCATGTTCACCACAAGTATGTGTGGTAAATGCTGCAAACATGAGTCCTTGCAAAGGTTTCAGTTTCGTATTCTTAGGGTTTTTCGGTAAAGTCACGTAGGTATAAAATTAAAATTAATAAAAGTAATTAATTATTAATTATTATTATTTTTACCTACATGACTTACACCTGTTTTATTGCCAGGAAGGGGAAAGTCCTATTATAATAATAATTTAATACTGGCAAAGGAGGTCTCAAAATGGATCTTCTTGTTATTTTGGTTGCCACACCCCTGTTCTGGACAGACATGTCACGAGACGATTTACCTAATTGTATACGTAGTGAACTGATACCGCAACTGTAATAATAATCCAAGCATGGCAGGCGACAATGTACTATGCACATCATTACACATAGCACACGAAGACAGGATCTTTAACGCACGGCTGGAATTGCTTCTACATCTGAATATTATCGTCATCTCATTCCCATTCTTCTGATTTGGATGGCTTCTCTTCACTGGTACATTACCAAGGTGTTTTGTTTTGCTGTCTGCTAGATGACTTTGTTTCATTAAGAGAGTCGGCTGCCATTGTTCCAGTGAATGTGGCTATAGATTTGTCACGAGGGAAACCCAAGAAGTTGCTGGATACCTGCGACAAAATTACGAAATTGGCAATACTGCGAACTGTGGGCGAAAACGAGTCACCTGGGAAACGGGGAGAGAGTGACAGAGAGCAAAGAGCAGCAAATAACGGAAGGCGACAGATGAAGTCAAGAGATTTATCAAGTAACAAAGTGCCGCAGCGGGCAAGGGATAGTGAAAGATTACGGGAAGATGAAGAAAAAGTGTAAGACTAGTGGGGAGCAGATGAAGTCGGGACAAGATTAGAGTCGTGCAATACACTTGAGAATAAAATAACTGACGGCGCTGTTGTTTCGCTAGTAAATTGACACAATCAATGCCGGCTCAAGCTCTGATGTGTACCCTTTTAAGAGAACATTGATTGTCAGCTTCCAGTAGCCAGAATTAGATTCGTTCCTCCGTCAAAAAAAAAGTTTTCCCTTGTAGATAAGAAAGCACAGCCTTACGACTGACTGTATTATCATCATCATTCCTAATGAGTGGCAATTTGAGGCTATTTCAAAGATTACATTCAATTCGTCCAAATTCTGTTCAGTTACAGCAAAAAAAATGTATAGCTATATATTTCCTGCTCGTGATTGGGTTCTGGTCACAGTGACTTTGACATTTTCATGCAATTTAGCATTGCTGTTACTTAAAGGCGGAGGTAGTCATGCATGAGAGTTTAGGAAGTTTAAAATCGCCCATATTAGCTGCTCTGACGTATGGATGGGAAACGCAGAATCTAACTTGCAGACACACGCAGACACAACAAGAGCTGAAGAGTGCGCAAAAGAAACGTGGATAAATGTGCGCTTGGAATTACACGCATGGAAAGAAGACAAACGGGTCAGAGCAAACAGTGCATATTAAAGACATCATATTTATTGTGAAGTAAAGTGAGCTTGGTCGGTACACATCGCTAGAAGGGATGATGGGCCGGTGGATGAGATTGCCGATGGAATGGCAGACAAAGGAGGGAAGCGCTACAATGAGATTAACGGAGTCAGTCTGATTACTGCATCTGAAAACCACCAGGGGTGGCAGCAGCCGAGGAGGAGATGCCATCATCCAGCAGTGGGTAGCACATGCTGCAGATGATACATGTCAGCTGCAAATTGAAAATCCCTGAATATGTTGCATGCTCGGACAACTTACGTCTGTCGTTTGTTATGTTGACAACGTAGCCCTACCCGAGCTGGCGTCAATGTGCTCAATTCACTTAACCGTGTTTCGCATTCTGGCGAAGATTGGCAATTCCACGTGTTATAATAAAATGCAACAATTCCATCACATTCCTACTTCGATTTATTACAATAGGGTCAATTGATAGTTAGGATTGAAAGGGTCGCCTATATTTCATGCAGGTGTAACATTTCCAACATTGCACACACACAAAAATCACAGTTTCGAAAAAATACATGACATGCAGCCTCTGCAGGCTTTCAGGATATTACATTCACAAGCACTCTATGACTCCACTTGTCTGTGCAAATGAGCCATCTTAACCAGTGGTCACTGATAACAAAAGTGTTATTGGAGACTCAACGACTGAAGTTGAAAAGGTAATTTGAGTTCTAAACATGGAACGTTAATTGCGTTTTGAATGCTTAAAGATAGCCTGACGCGAGCACGATGCCTGTTCCGGTGAATGACATAAGAAATAACAAATCGTTCTGTAATGCACATGCATATTTAAGTCAAGGCTACCTTCATTTAACAACCACCAATGCAGCAGTAATATTAAATAAAAATATAACCCATCTCATTAAAGCTAGATTCCACCTGAAGACGGAAGCTTGTGTTGCCTCCGAAACGTCGTGATTTTTATTTAATTTTTATTTTACTTTTATTAATTTTAATTTTACCTACGTGACTTTATCAAAAACCTAAGAATATCAATCCTTGCAGTCACGAAAGCTTCAAATCTAGAAAAGCTAAAATATATATTTTTTTCTATCTTGCTCTCGTGTCACTGTGAATCTTGGCTGTCTCGGGCCCATGACCACAATCCCAGCGCCGGCGACAATCCCAACACCAGCCAATCTCATTGCCACCGTCACCGCTAAGGTGACTACTCTTAGCCCTTCCCCTGAATGCCTTTAAATGCTTAAACGGCTGCGACGTAAACACGAGAGGACAATGCAGCAATTTCCCTGCCTCGAGCTGGTCGACACGTGCGCACAGCTATCAGGCGCTGATAGGCGTTGTGCTGAGTAACACGTCCACAGCCTCATGAAGCAGCTGCTTGGCAAACAGCAGCGGCCAAAAGCCGGCAACGCCACGCGCGCGCCTGTCTTGTGTGTATGTTGCATGTATGTTGAACTTCTTTCGCGCCGTACGTAGCCAACCGTACTAATCGGTGGTACGGGGGAAGGACAACAAACGAAACACACAGAAAGGAATTTCTAAAAAAACGAGTTTTCAATCTCGATTTCAAAGTGCATAGTTACAGTGGCTTCCGAATATCAGCGGAAGAAAGAGCATTGCAGACGGCCGCACAAGCACGCATCTGAAAGCGCGCGGTGAAACCGCTGCCCGAACAAAAAAGCTTTCACATGAGTTTTTGAATCTGCCGTGGAACACTCCAAAAACGTTACGAACAAATATACTCGGGATCGGAATTGTATGTTTGCCATTGAGATGAAGCGGTTATATAGCCACCATTCACGCAAACTGCATCTAACAATCGCTGAAGAACCAAAGACAAGCTGGAAGGTCTAGGTGAGACAACGCCAATCATTGCTCTGCAGTTCTCTACATATTAAGATGTTTTCATCCAATTAGTGAGCGTTTATACATGTTAAGGCTATGATTTGGATCCCTTAAATAGCATGTCCTGGTTTAAAATGTACACCAAGAGGTGTACTCTATCTTCACAAGCAAAAGTGTGTCAGTACTAAATCTATTATGATTTACAATCCGTCATTGCCCTGGTGGATGAAGATCTCTCCACACTGAATGGGTCATGGGGATTGTTTGTCCAGACTTCACCACGATGGTCAGTGCAGGTTAGTGAACTCGAGGGCCAGGACTGGTTCAGACAATACTTCCCATCGATGTCACCCATCGTTGGGCATCAAATTCGGGTCGTGTGGTTTTCAGAGCCACAGCTTTCTAACCACTGCACAACCAATCCCCAACGAATATAAATATATACCTTATACGCACACAGTACAGATGTATATATGCACAATACGGTATTTAAATTGAACACTGTATACAGCACAAGCTTTTACAAATCCGTGACTCAGCTAGTTAAGCAAAACTAAATGCATGGCAACACATATCAGCATAAAAGGATTGGGCCATATCCCCTACACTGTTAAAATGTGTTTAAAGGGGAAATGAAGGCAACAGCCTTTTTTTTTTGCACAAATAAAAAAGAAAATGCACCACAAAGTACTCCGCTGCAACACACAAGAGGGCATATCATCTTGTTATCGGGGAGGGCACTGCCTTTCATACAATCGGGAATGTTCCCTCCAGCGATGCCCCTCCACGAGGTTCGCTCTGGCAAGGTCGAGCTTGCCAGAGTCGTGCATTAATAAAGCTTGCGACAACAGCAGTGGAGAAATGCACCGTAAATTATGAGGTTGGGGGATAGATAACGCTGACAGGTCCAAACAGACGGGTTCACGAACCCACTTGCATTGCTGCCAACCTCCTTGCCTCCTGGGAGCCCAGAGGGGGTGGAGGGAGTTG